ATATATATATATATATATATATATATATATATATATATATATTCAGAATGAGTCTTGGTTCAGTTTCAGATTAGTTTTCCTATTATTGGCCATATTTATTTATTTATTGGTTGCAATAGTTTTAAAAATCGCAAAATTCTTACAGTCACTTATTATCATAAATATTCAGTGGTATTTGTTTTGATAAAGTGATTGCGATATTTTTTTTCCTTTTCTATGAAGTGTGGGATTGGAAAAATCAGAAATAATTATGAAAAAAATAAGTTTTTAGTTTTTTAATTTTTATTGTGATGTTATTAAATGTGAAATACTTAACTATTCAATTTTTATTCGCTTGTTAATGTATGATTTTAAAGATGGTGGATATATTATTGAAGATAGTGCTATGCAAATAAAATAAGATTGATAAAAAAAATAAACAGTGTTATTTTTTTATTAGTATTTTATATTTTATTTACTACAGTTAAATAATTAAGTTGATTTCTATATATTTTAAACAAAATAATTTTAGAAAATAATAAATAGTATTTTAAACAAAAGTTTTTAGATTATTTTGTCAAGAATAGAATGTATAATGCAGAACATATGAACATTTGAAATAAATGAAAACAAAAAACTTGAAAAATAAAATTTATTATATAGATTTTCTGAAATATGAATTTCAAATTTAAATATACTTGAATATAACAGAATTCATATTGCATTTTAAATTAGCGAAAAAAATATCGGGATCAAAATTCTAATTATGTTGGTTAAAACATAAATAAATCATTGCATTTCCGTATTTTATTTAAATATATTTTCTTGTAAGGTCGATTCAAGAGGAGAAATTTTCTGCGCAGGAGAGGTAAACGGACAAGATAGTGGTTGGACACATATGGGCAAGCTTTACATTTATGAGTTTGGTTCTCCTCTAGTAGATAAGATTTTGCCATAATGTATACGGAATCACTTTAAAAAATAATTCCCATTAAAAATTAAAATTAGAATATGGTTTTATTTTTTTTTTAAAATATTTGATAATTGCCTATATGCATATATATATATATATATATATTGCCTTTTATATGTTTTCTTACGCATAAGTAATTAACACGTGTAATTACAGATTGAATTAACATGATAATAGGTTTGGTGAATCACTTGACTAATTTATTACAGAATATTAGATTCACTGTTCATTTCTGACCCATTTAAAACAGGTTATTTTGTTGTTACTATTTCCACCAAGATTTTGTCTAAAATAATGAACCAATAACAATGGATGTCTTTTTTTTTCCTTCCTTGGACATTTTATATTTACGTTATAAATAATAAACCGATAACAATAATTTTCATTTTATATTCACAAATTATAAAATGTAAGATCTAAATTCAAATTGAAAAATAATACGAATCTTAGTTTTTGGGAAAGTGAACCCTAAATCAGTTGTTCGACATTCAATATATTTTCTTATTGTAAATTTACTTATTCAGCTTTTGTTATATATTTTATGACTCATGAAAAAAAAACACAAACCGATTTATTTCTATTGCAGTTATAATGCTACTTTTTAAATAAATATTCTTATTCTATGCAAACGTGAATGGATATTGATAAATAAACCAATATCTCTTAGCCTAATAACATTATAAAAAGAATTATGGCTGTTATTGCTCGATTTTTTTTTTAATTCAAAAATAAAGTTAAGAAAATAAAGCATTATCTTTATTAAAAAATTAAGGCCTTGATAATTCAGGTTAAGATTTACAAAAACTTAAAGAAGAAAAACAAATTACATCAAAATACAAAATAAAAGTAGAAAATTTGTTCTAGATTGATTGCTTTGTACTTTGTACCACAAAATTTCTGAAAATTTTAAAAGGTCGATTAGTTTTCATGAATTTTATATTAAAATACAACGACGACCAATCCTGCTATTGTAATATTATTTAAATATTTCATAAATTTTTAGTGTAAGTTTCTAACAGTAAACAGTATTTTGCTTTTGTATTTTGTACGTCGTGTGTGTATATATACATACATACAGTGGCGGATCCAGAAAAAATTATGAGTGGGGGCAATAATTATAATAAATATATAATAAAATTAATTAAAAAAATATATTATAAAAAATATTTATATTTGATCATTAAATTTTATAATTTTTTATTTTTTAAAATATATCCATAATAACTTTTATTTATAATTGTTTAAAATATATATTTTTTAATAAAATAAACTGCAATCACTCAAAAATTGATCACTAATACGATTGCTTAGAGCTATGTTTACAAATTTTGTTAACGGAAAACATCTTCCATCATAGTGTCAACAAATAAAATCAATTAATGTATTAATCAAACCAGTCGAGATCAAATCGTTTTAATTTATTTTCTATTATCATTTTTTAAAAGTCATTATCATGTTATTGATAAGATCCTCTAATATTTTTTTAGCTTAATCAATTTATCTATAATTTTTTTATCAAGTCAAATAAAATATATATATATATATAGATATATATAACAATAAATTTGTGAGTATCATCAAAATATAGAAATTGATGAATAAATAAAAAATAGAATTACTTAAAAGTCATAAATGAAAGAATTAATATGATCTCACATTTATTCATTTGTGTAATACAAAATATATACATGAAGAGGTTGCTATATCTAAGGTCACTAAGGAGATACAATTAAGAGAGAATCAATTATACAAGATTACAATCAATTAGAAATAGATTTGATATACTAACATATTATTTTCCTTTAATAAAACTTAAATATTTTTAATTTGATTGTTTTTTAATATTAGATCTATACATAATAATTTTGAGAATTAAGAGAGAAAGATTAAAAAACAGTTGGAAAATAAAAAATAAAAAATAAAAAAAGAGACAATACGTAACTTAATTTAAAAAAAAGAGAAATAAAAAAACAAAAGAGTGGAAAGAGGGGGCACAGGTAAAATGTTAATGGGGGCACCTTATATTATTTATCAAAAATTTTAAAAAATTATAAACAAATTAAAAATTTTAGAGGGGGCATGGGACCCCATTGGTCTATACATGGATCCGCCCCTGCATACATATATATGTGTGTATATATATATATTTGATTGGAAGGAGAAGAAAGCAAATGGAAGGGAGAAGACTGGATAACACAGTCGAAAGAAACGACATCGTTTTTGAAGCCATTTTCTAAATGGCAAGACTGCCATGAGCATCACCTTCCCACCACGCGCTCTCCCTTTACTCGCCTTTGCCACGTCAGCAAATCCGTTGTAATTTTATTTTTACTTTTATTCGGGTGAAGAAACACTGGTAGCCAACTATCAATCATACATTTTCTATACATAGAATAAAATATTGTTATTGTTATTTCTTAATTTCCAACAAATATATATTTTTATTTCATTCTAGTTTAACGTTAACCCCTTTTGCGATGTTCCGATTTTGCTCAGGTTCAGACTTCAGAGACCGACGAAATTATCTTGTACCGGCGATAACCGGCTAAGCACACGAAGATAAGTTAACCAACGCTAAACCGGCCAAAGGAGCACAGTATACATGGAACTAAGAAAAGACGAATTATGTACAAAGAAGAAGAGCCTTAGAGGGAGAAAGAAGGTTCGGTTCTTCTTCTGAGTTTTAGCAACAGACATATTTCCCCCGTTAAACCCAAACATTAAGCCGTGGCCGCTGCCTGTTCTTCGCCGTTCTGAGCCGCCGGCTGGAGAGTGCAGATCAGGTTCCGGTCTCCGTACACATTGTCCACGCGACCTGGTTAGATCAAAACCATGGAAATCCGGTTATTTTAAAAATCGATTCAGCTACTGGCTTTGTGAGGTGCAATCTGGTGAACTTGGTATAACCAAACCAGGTGTGGAAACGGTTAAATCCGGTTAAGTGTTTGCTGCTGAATTCTGACTTAACCAACAACATGCCATGCCCTGACCCTTTTATAACCTGGATACCTGGTTTTTTAGCCTGGTTTCCAATTCAGATACTGAAGAGAGAGGCAATGCAATTATTCAAACCTGATTATATCGGTATAACAAGAAACCCAATTGGTCCAATGATCGGTTTAGGATGAATTCAGATAACCAGGGCTGAAACAGGATTCAGATAGATTGGTTGTGGTTGAAATGCAGAACAAAGAAACTGGGATCCATGTTAGTAAAACCACAGTTCGGTTTGGTTTCATGGTCTCTGACTCGACTCTAACCCGAAACCAGACCCGAGACTGATACACATCTTAGTTCAGTAAGCAAAACTTTATCAATCAGTGTGCTAAAAATTAAATCTGGGTCTAAGGTAACCAATCAATAAAAACCGGTATCTGGCCACAATGCAGAACACAGAAATGCAGAAAACAGTTAAGGAAGAGTAACCACGTACCAGTAGTGGGCCAGAACTTAGAAGCTCGAAGCCATGGAGCAGGGAAGGCAGCGTATTCACGAGAGTATGGTTTGCTCCACGAGTCTCCCATGAGAAGAGAAGGAGGGTGAGGTGCTCCCTGCAACAAAAAAAGTTCTCAGATTTTATATACGGTTTCTTGAGGAAACATGAAAAAGAAAATCAGAAAGGTGGATTCTTGATGATGGAGATTTTGAACAACCTTCAGAACATTGTTGTGGATGTCGGCATTTCCTTTCTCGATCTGAGCAATCTCTTCTCTGATAGAGATAAGGGTATCGCAGAACCTGTCCAACTCGGCCTGTAGATGCAAAGTAACTTTCAGAACATGTTTGGATAGCGAGAAAATGTGAGAAAATCCATGGAAGATTGATACTTTTACGAGAAGTTGATGTATATGTACCTTGCTTTCGCTTTCTGTGGGTTCGATCATGAGTGTTCCCGGGACAGGCCACGACATTGTAGGGGCATGGAACCCGTAGTCCATAAGACGTTTGGCAACATCTTCAGGCTCAATTCCAGCAGTGTTCTGCAATCACGATCCAGTGATTAGTCCAAGAGAGTACAACACCGATACAAAAGAGAATTCTAGTGCTCCTATATTAGTTGTTTATTACCTTGAATCCCCTCAAATCGATGATGAACTCATGAGCAACTGTCCCATTGACACCACGGAAAAGAACAGGGAAGTGTTTCTGAATCACAAAAATACCCATTAAGCTTGACACAATGCAGAAACATCGAGTAAACTTTTATCTTCAACCGGGAGCCAGTATTCTCGGTAATCAATTCTGCTTTCTTAGGCAGTAAAATCAGTGTTTTCTTGGGAAAAACCCGGCTTTAATTGTCACAAAGGTGAAAGCTTTTTAAGGAAATGGGAGATACCTCTAGGCGTTTCACCATATAATTTGCATTTAAAATTGCAATCTTTGAAGCATCAGTGAGTCCCTTGGAGCCCATCATGGCAATATAAGTGTATGATATGGGCAAGATAAGTGCAGAGCCCCATGGCGCTGCTGCAATGCTACCGAGCGGTTCAGACTTCTCAGGGGCCGGGATTCCGCCGGTAGGGACCTTAAAGATTCATTAACAGATGACAATACATAAAAGAATCAAGAACCAGTTTCATGAATTACATACACATTGAAACAAAGGAGTGAGTGTAATACCACAGGGTGTGAAGGTAGGAAAGGTGCCAAGTGTTTCTTGACGCCGATGGGACCCATGCCAGGACCACCGCCTCCGTGAGGAATGCAGAATGTCTTGTGGAGGTTGAGATGGCAAACGTCGGCTCCAATGAAACCGGGGCTTGTCAAACCCACCTGCATAAAACATCAGTATCTTGGAATTGGAATCTGACACCATGGATGAAATGAAAGAACGAAGAGAATAATTCCAAAAGAAAAGTCTGAGAATCCGATGAAACCTGTGCATTCATGTTGGCACCATCCATATAGACTTGACCTCCATTTTCATGAATTATCTTGCAGATCTCGTCAATACCTTCTTCGTAAACTCCATGAGTTGAAGGGTATGTAACCTGAATTTCAAAGTGAAAACAGAATGTCATTTCAGATTCTTTAGGTCTAAAACCGAAAAGGGATAGAGAAACCATTATGTTGATATGTACCATGAGGGCGGCAAGGTTGTCTCGGTTAGCTTCTGCAGCTTTCCTCAACTCTTCTATGTTGATGTTTCCTTTAGAATCCGTTCCAACAGCGACGATTTTCATTCCACACATGGCAGCACTTGCTGGGTTTGTCCCATGAGCCGAAACTGGTATGATGCATACATCACGGTGGTAATCTCCTCTTGACTGCAAAACGAATTAACCAATCAACAATAAACAAAACGAAAGATCGTAAAGAAATCCAGCTTGTACCCATTTCATATCGATCTCAACCCAGCAATGACCCAATTATACCCTTCTGAAAAGTATAGACCTTTCACTCAACATCCACTCACTGAGATTGTTCTTGGACCATACCGAATATGAGATGGCTTTAAAGTGTCAGGATTTTGATAAATCACGTATGAAGTACACGAAAGAAGGAGAAGGCAATAAAGAAATTTAAGTTTTGGATGAAGCTTACCCTGTGATATGCACGAATAACCATCAGGCCTGCATACTCACCAGCAGCACCGGCGTTTGGTTGGAGCGAGAAAGAGTCGAAACCAGTGATGGTACATAAGAGATCACCCAAGTTATTGAACATTTCCTAGCAAAAAAAAAGCATGATAAAGATCAACCCAAGTTACTGAAACTTACAATTCTTGTAGTTAATGTGAAATCCATTGCTAGAGACCAAGAAACTGTAAAAACCTGATAACCCTGAGCCTGTTCAGGAGGGGCAAAAGGGTGAAGGTCGGTGAAGTTAGGCCAAGTAATCGGCATCATTTCAGTTGTAGCGTTTAGCTTCATCGTGCATGATCCCAATGGAATCATACTGTGGCAAAGTGAGAGATCTTTGGATTGCAACTTGTAGAGGTACCTCAACATCTCATGCTCAGTGTGGTACCTAAACAAGAAAACGCGCAGTTTAGAGTTCTGAACTATCGGAAATTCATGTTTTCTAAGTTATGAAACTGTAAAGTAGAAAAACTTACATGTTAAAGATCGGGTGAGTGAGATAAGGGCTCTCCCTTGTTAGGCCAGAGGGGATCGCAGTCTGAACCTCACTGGCAAGAGATTCTGCAGAAAACGGGACCTAACAAACGAGAAAAGTATCCTTTTTTAGGTTAGAACGATCGAAAGAAAGGTGGAAACTTCGAAAATTTTAAGAGAAAAACTAGAAGACCATGTTACTGTAACTCACAGATTTGCCACCAGCGAAAACATTGAAAAGCTTCTCAACATCCTTCAAGGTGGTGGTTTCATCAAAGGAGATGGTGATCTAAACACAAACCCGGTTTCCATCAGCTCCCTTTCGAAACATCACTTACACGTTTTAAAATCAGTGTACAAGACAAAAGAGCCATACTCACCGTATTTGAATCCACGACTCGCAAATTAATCTCGTTCTTGTAAGCAGCAAAAGCTATGGCATTAGCATCAGCACACTTAACCTTCACAGTATCGAAGAAGGGAAGGTCTTGAACTTCCACTGTTCCGAGTTTCTTAAGCCCCAGAGCTAAAACTCCCGCAAGGCCATGAACTCGCTCTGCAATGGATTTCAGTCCCTGAGGCCCATGGTAAACAGCATACATGGCAGCCATGTTTGCCAACAGAGCCTACAAGAAATACCGACAAAAGTGATGTCGAACTTAATCTCCTGAAACAGTACTGAATCATGGAATCTCTGAAGAGTATACAAGAAATACCGAAAAAGGTACTCTCTATCCATGCAATTCACAAGAATTCCAAAGTTCTGAACTTTCCAAATTTAGTACTTTTCTTAACCATGACACAATTTCAAAAGGGAGAAGAAAGATTATATCTTTACCTGGGCAGTGCAGATGTTGCTCGTAGCCTTGTCCCTGCGAATATGTTGCTCTCTAGTCTGCATCGCCATACGAAGAGCCGGCTTACCCGAGGAGTCAACACTAACCCCGATGATTCTACCGGGCATCATCCTTTTGTACTCCTGAGACGTTGCCAAGAACGCAGCATGAGGGCCTCCATACCCCATTGGCACACCAAACCTCTGAGCTGAACCGACCACAATATCCGCCCCAAATTCACCTGGTGGCTTCAAAATCGTCAAAGCCAACAGATCGGTAGCCATCACAACCTTGACTCCATTAGCATGAGCCTTCTTGACGAACTCTCCATAGTCCAAGATTTCGCCCTCGGTTCCAGGGTACTGAACAAGTACTCCACAGACATCACCAGAACTGTAGTCTATGTCCTTAAGATCAGAGGTCACCACTTTTATGTCGAACCCATCAGCTCTCGTCTTGCAAATATCGATGGTTTGGGGATGGCAGTTGCTAGCAATCACAAAGGTTTTCTTTTTACCCTTTTGGATGTTGTTACACATAGCCATGGCCTCAGCCGCTGCAGTTCCCTCGTCCAGCAAGGAGGCGTTTGACATGGGCAGACCCGTGAGCTCGGCTATCATCGTCTGGTAATTGAGCAGAGATTCGAGCCGGCCCTGGGAAATCTCGGCCTGGTATGGAGTGTACTGTGTATACCATGCCGGATTCTCTGTGATATTCCTCAGAATCACAGGTGGTATATGGGTGTTATAGTAACCCATGCCAATATATGATTTGAAAACTTTGTTTTTGGAAGCCAAATCCTTCATATGATCAATCATTTGGCTTTCGGTTAACCCTTCATCGAATTTCGAGAATTTCATCGAATCGATGCGTATGGCTTTGGGCACAGTTGCATCAATGAGAGAATCAAGAGAATCAAACCCGCATGAGTTCGCCATAACCGTTTGTTCCTCCGGCGTCGCCGAGTTATGTCGGCGGGGGAAAGTGTCGGTGGGTTTCAATGCCTCGACGGAAATACGACGAATTTGGGATCCGAAATGGGACGAGGCCTTCCGATTGTTAGAAGACGCCATTTCCGACCTAATGTTGCTTGCGGAAGAAGCAAAAGGCGACAACGAAGACACATACCTCGCCGGCGAGTACAGAGCCGGAGATGAAGCACCGCCGGAGAGGGAAGCCTCACGCGCGGTACGGTGTCGTTTCGAGCTATCGACGAGGCGTTTCAGGATTGCCCTGTTCGCGAGTCTCCTTGCACGCTCCATGGATGTACGGACACTGAACAACGAAAAAGGAAGGATTTTTTTTTTTTGTTTTTCTGATTTTTGGTTGAAGAAAGCAAACGGGTCGTCGAAAAAGTGCGAGATTTTTCAGGAAACAAGAGAAAGCTTTTAAATTTCCACCATTAATGGGTGCCTGAGAGGTACCGAAGATGGCGATGACACTGTGAGTGAATATGCGTGTGTGTGCTTTTATACTATTAGCAAAACAATTATTTCACAATTTTGTGAGGAATACAAAATTCCAAAATGAGATTTTCCTAAAACAAAATTAAATCTCTTTCCTTATATCTTCTCAGGATCTGGTGGTGGTGGATCACTGTAAGTGCAAACCTTGGAAGGCAAAGGACATATACATACATATATATGCACACACATACACGTGCATGAGTGGAGAAGCTTTTGGACAAAAAACATTTTTTTTTTGTGGAAGGGATTGAAGGGAAGAAGATTGAAATTCAATGGACCAAAGTGAATTTTATCCTGCGAGAAAGAAAAAAAAGACAGAAATTAAAAAGAACTAAAAAAAATTCAGGCCTGGAGTTTTAAAATCATTCGTTGGCGAATTATATTACACACACCACTTATCTTCATGTTGAAAATACATAAATTATGAAAATAATATCAGGAATAGAGACGACATGGGGTTAATAAAACCACTTAAACATGAAGCCGACATGCAAAATCTAACCTTAAAACTTACTTTTCACATTGTTTTTTACTGTTATTATGCATTGTGACGAATACATTTCTAGGATGTTTTTCATAAGATTATCCGATTTTCAAGAAAAAAAAATCAAAAGTTATTGGATTTAAAAAGAATTCAAAAAATGAAGTTTTAAATACTTTTAAGTATTAAATGAGCCAAAAGAACCTGAATCGGATATATAAAAAATATGAATCCAAAAAGGCTTAACCAGTATTTAATCGATTATATATAAACATATAAACCAATAATCCTAAGCGCACGCACACATATATATACTATATATAAAACAAAATATTAGAAATAATTCCGAAAATTTTCTCTAAAATCTTCTGAATAAATAAAAGAGTGCACAACGAGAATAAATAGCTAATGGTCTATGGATTATGAATCTTTAACCAAAAAAAAAAGAAAAGAAAAGCTATGGACTAAGAATCCCCAAGGGCCAAGATTGAGGTAAATTCCTAATGTAAAAAATAGGATAGTAACAAAATAAATAAATTCCACTAACACGACGGAAAGTTGGGAATTAAATTATTGAAGACTATTTAAGTGGAGCACAATATGAGTTTTATGAAGGAAAAAAAAAGCGATTCAAAAGGAGTGGCCCTAATTAAAAACAAAAGATTCAAGACCCACCAATTTTCATGTATTTTGCTTCAATAAAAACCTGTTTTAATATATATATAGAGAGAGAGAGAGAGACAAATATCTTACACTTTAACCTCTTAAAAATACTAAGACATGAGATTTGTACAAAAATATTCAAGTATTGAATTTACCTAAAATAATTACTATATTGAATTATTATAAAACTAAATAATTTCATTTTTTGGAAAAAATCAAAAAATATTTTAATTAAAAAATAATTATGAAGTAAAGAGTTAATAATTTAATATAAAGTGAGAAAAAATATTAAATCTTATATTCATATAGCAGTTTATAAAAATAAAAATCTCACGTGTATGTATAACCAATTAAAAATGAATTTTATTATATATTTTAAATATAATTTAAATACATAAAAAATTACAATTATTTTTATTATTGAATTTAATTTTTCTGGTTATTGATTTTCATGTCTAAATAAAATAGAAAAAATTAAAAACTTATATAACTGAAAATAATTATATTATAAAATTAAAAGAAATAAAATATAACAATTAAAATGTATATAATTTAACACTTTTAAAATATAGTTTTTCGAAAATAAAATAATTGTTCACATGAATCGTATTGAAATAAATAATTTTTTTTATATTTGTTTCAAACTAACAATTGGTGATTTTTGTAACGAATGAAAAATGTAAAGATAATGTTATATAATTATGATAGCTTTTATTTTTTTATAACTAATTTAGAAATAATCTTGTTAGAAACTCTAAAGTGTCGCACATATTCTAAAAAATCTTCTAATTTAAAATCTCATCATACAATTTCTTAAACTGTTACATTTTACAAACACAAAATTAATTTATAACAATTACGTAAAAAATCTTACCCAATAAATTTATCATGAAAAATAACACATCTGTTGGAATTCTAAATCTAAAAATTAGACATACGAAAACAATAGACGCGTTTAATTTTTCGTCACCTGTCTTGGTCATGTCATGCGCAAGGAAAATGGTGATCGCAAAGTTCTACCGTTATTATATATAATATATATGTATGTATATGAATTTAAGTAAATATCTTGAAAGATTATAAAATACCAGAGAAAAAGAACCAAGGCAAATCACAACTATTCAACCGTTACAGGCCAATTTCTTCAACTACTAACACACACACATCATAATAATAATAATAATAATGCTTAATGACCCCTATAAAACTAAAAGCTTTCATAAGGACCCCGAAACTATGGAAACTTACAATTAGGATCCTATGGCGACATGAGACGAACTCCGAGGAACAGCGTGAAATAAGACGCAACTTGAAACCTGACACTACAAACTCATCATATTACTGAGGAAATCTGCAGCGAATCCCGTCCGAGACGGAATCCAATATCCCTTCCGTACTATAGAAGGAAGGTGTCTCACCAATTACTGTGTCATTATGGTAAATATCTGAAGTGATATTAATTTTACTGTTTATTCAAAACAGGGGTTCGCTTTTTTCAATTCTATAAAAATAGGTACAAATTGGTTATTATATCATATTCAGTTCTGATTTTGGTTCGGTTCGCCGTCGGTTTTTATTAAAAAAAATATATTTTTTTAAGAATTTTTGGATTTTCAGAATTTTTTTATAAATTCGGTTCCATTCGATTCCGAAAAAATTGGTTTTCTAAAATTTTAGATTGTTCGGTTCAGAAACTATAACAAATTTTTAGTTCAATACGATTCGATTACGAAGAACCTTATCGGAACGTCCACCCCTAACCATATGTATACTCGATCTGAAACCTAATCATCCAAAATCGAGTCCGATTTTCGATTTCTCTCTTGTTATTATCTGACCAGAAAAATAATCTGAATATCAACTATCATTTTTTATAAGTTTTGCTTGATAATTAATGAATCACCTTTCTTTTATTTTTTATTTAAAAAAAATCATATATATAAAAGTAGAGTTTCATTGTACGGGAGCATGGCACGTGTCCCTTTTGTTTTGGAATATTAAGAGTTACAATTTGGGCAATTAACTAATGAATTGACTGAGTGTTCAATAATAAATGCTATGGATCAATATTAAGAGATAATTGAATATAAAGCGTTACTATAAATTCATTAACTCTCCATGTAGATAGCATGTATTTAAAAACAAATTAATGGAGGTAATACTCTAACAACCCAGTTTTACAAAAAAAAAAAAAAAAAACTCAGAACGTCCGTTCTGGAAAACCCAGAACGGACGGACCGCGTAGGAACAGACCGTCTGTTCTAGACTCTCGGAACGGACAGACCGGACTGTCGGCAGCGACCAAAGTCGCGGCTTTCGTCTGGGCCGACCTGAAAATGACCCCTGCGCACTAATCCGACCAGCAAACTCGACTTTTTGACCCTAACGCGTGATTAGGTCCCTCCTGGGTCCGGATTTAAAAAAAAAAAAAAAAAAAAACTCAGAACGTCCGTTCTGGAAAACCCAGAACGGACGGACCGCGTAGGAACAGACCGTCTGTTCTAGACTCTCGGAACGGACAGACCGGACTGTCGGCAGCGACCAAAGTCGCGGCTTTCGTCTGGGCCGACCTGAAAATGACCCCTGCGCACTAATCCGACCAGCAAACTCGACTTTTTGACCCTAACGCGTGATTAGGTCCCTCCTGGGTCCGGATTTCTGTCGGAAATCGCCTAATCCGAGTTTTAATTAACCCCTTTCTCTCTCATTTGTTCTTCACCTTCAAACTCGGAATTCTCTCTCGAATCCGAATCATTTACTTTGAATACGGTTCCTACAGAGCAAGAAGAGCATCACCGAACTTCCTAGCCGTCACCCAGAACACGAGATTAACCCGAGGTGAGTGAATTCGAGTTTAATTCGGAAGTCTGTTAGACATGGGGTTTTGGGTTTTGAGTGATTTCGTGTAAAATTGATGCTTGATTCGTGTTCTACTTGCAATTCTATGAGTTTTAGTGTAATACCCATAGTGAATCGTGCATGTTTGAGTGATTCTGGCGAGATCCGAGGACTAGAACGTCCGGTCTGAGGTCAGACCGTCCGTTCTAGGTCTGCAGGAGAAATACAGAAGTCTAGAGGTTGAAGATGAAGTCCGGAACGTCCGTTCTAACCAGACCGTCCGTTCTGGTCAAACAGAACGTCCGTTCTGGACCAAATAGAATGTCCGTTCTGGACCAAACAGAACGTCCGTTCCAACCGACTGGACCGATCGGTCTAGGACTAGACCGATCGGTCTGAAAAAAAAAAGTAACGGAACCCGAAAATTTCACCATGTGGAAAATTGAAAAACATGATAAGACGGGTCTAATATTACCCCGGCTAAAATTATGAAAAAATGAAAAATATAAATTATACCGGAATTACGGGCCAGACTGGACCCCACGTAGTCTGGACCCAAAATGAATAACAGGTAAGGTTAAAAACCACGGAATGAACCGAACTGGTTATCCG